CAGTTGCTGGAATTCAATTCAAGCAACAACAAAATACAACGTAGAACATATTATGCCTAACATAAAATAACAAATAACTTACACAAGGTTTAGGTAGCTTATACAAAACTGAAGATCAGTAAACACTGTGGAACCAAATAAATAAGAAACGCTATGTTTATTAGCAAAACGAATAAGAAAGCTTGGAGGCACGGCATACACATTGATGTCAAATAAAATAAATAAGTTACACAAAGTTTAAATAAAGTAAAAATCAGCAAACAATGTGGAACCAATTAAATAAGAAACGAATGTTTAAAAAAACTTCCAAAATCACCTTAGATAAACGGCAAAAGTCAACAGGCTTTTCAAAATCCAAAATATTGCCAAGCAGGCGCTTTTGCATCTTGTTTCGAAACTAAATCATCCGCCATCGTCTTGTCTGTCTCACCTCACCTCACTCTTCTTGTCAGTCAGCTCGACTCGGTCTCCTCACTGAATAAATGAAATCTGATCTGTGATGCGACTGTCGTTCGGCACGCTGCATTGAGCAGCCGCATTCAGTTTTTAATTGTAGTGTCTGTTCCTTTAACTGAACTAAAGGATTTTTATTACTATAAAAAATCAAAACTACGATGGGGGTCGGTGCCGCGGTGGGCAAGTGACATAACCGGTGTTGCGGCTTAACAACGGTATCACCGTCAGCACCGTCTATCGCGGCAAGCCTAGTCCACACCAGAAATTACAATTCTACAAGACACGACAAAATCAATCACAGGCAGTCGAAAGCGCAAGTGGGCTCTCTCCGCAAGCTCACTACTGTCTCATACTTGCAATGAAACATTTGGTTAATTGGTTAACCAAATTTGGTTAAACAATTTTAACATTATTCAAAATAGGCTACATACTCAATCTTTGTCATAGAATCCACTCACAAAAAACAAAACAAAAAACAGTTTGACCAATTCTATTTTCCTTTCATTTATTTTCAAGATCTGAGGTAAATTGATCCATTGTCACTTTAATTATGGCCATCAAGTCTAAATAAGAGTATATATTGAAATTATATCTCATATTGAGACCTGTGAAAATGTTTTGCCGTTAAACAGCATAAGGTTGAATGCCATAATTAAATAACATCTTAACATCTTAATATGGAAATATCATCACAGCACACCATGTTGTTATACATTGCGTCAAACAAAATGAATACAAAAAATAAAAAAAACATTTCTACAAAACTGATCACAGAGAGAAAACACATGAGAGATGGAAAAGACAGAGAACAGTGTGTGTGGTGCTGTAATTGAAGCTCCAATTAAATGTAACGGGTATGCATGTGCTAATCAAGTTGGAGGCTAAGTATAAATTTAGCACAGATATATTTTCACTCGCTAAACACTCTGACAGCGCTTGAGAGTTGCTCTCCATCAAGCGATCTGTACTTTTTCAATTCAACTCAATGAAGGTGCAGCGCACCAGTATTTGACACACCGTAAACACTAGTGTGGGCGAAATATATCTGACTTAAATAATTAAGCTAACAGATTTAAAACAGAAGTGTGGCGCGGCGCTCCATAAACAAGTTCACGGAAAGGAAAGGATGACAATGCGCAGTCTTTATTTTGCAAAAGCACAAATCTCGTTTTTATTGTGAGTGTGCAAAAATAAAAGTAAACACTTTTGCGGATTTGATCGTTTCCGTCTATATGCGAATGCGTGTAAAGTACAAGCCTAGTTTACATTATAAATAATAGTTTAACATTCAAATACATTGCGAATATGGAAACATTTGTATTTGTGCCAAATGAGACGTGAGTAATAACCTCCAAATACATCCAAACCCGCACTCGCTCCGTCTCGTATGCACGCACGCATGCACTGTCACGATCTAATGTACTGTAAATGCCGGATTTTTAAAAACAAATAGGCCTATCGCAACGCAAAAATTCAAAATCTGACATTTTCCGGAACAGGATCCAGCAGGATCAAATTAAGTACTGGTCATAATACTCACATGATCATGTTTGATGTGAGCAACCGTGTGTTTTCCTGCAGCAGCGCTGATGGAAGCGGTTCACTGACTGCGCAGCACAGCCGCACGCGCCACAGTTACGTTTGGGATCATTTTATTTTAAATGCCATAATGTCAGTTGAAAACATTGCAAT